TAATGAAAAATTATTTCCGGGAAACGCAAAATTGGAATTCCCACGCCTGTTCTCTCGCCAGCACAAAAAGGCCGGGGAAGCGCCAGAAAAGAATAGCGCCACTGTCGGCCCGGACACTCGTCGTCGGAGTCTCCAACCCGCTGCCCGCGCCACGCTCCGTGCTCTTCATCCTCGTGTCCCGGTCGTTCGCAAGCAGCAGCAGCCCGCCGTTGCCGCGGGCGGACCGTACGAGCACTGTGTGGCCCCCCTGGCGGCGGGGCGATGCAGACGCAGCGGGCTCGGGCTTCCTTTTATGTTGGCGAGCCGGTCGTCGCCGGCCGCGTAAGACACGAGGCCGCGCAGGCCGAACCTCAGCGAGCTGGAGTGTTTCCGCAGGCACGCCTCACGCTCGAGCGGCGGCAGGGCAACTTCGGACGCCAGCAGCGAGTGGGGCGCGGCCGGTTGCCTGTCGACGGCGACAAGCGGCGAGCGGCGGCGGGCCACGAGAAGGTTGTCGGACCTCTACGGTCGGCCAGTCGCTGTCGCTCGACGGTTAACGAAACACGTCGACGATCACCGATTTCGCCAGCAGCGCCTCGCTGTCGAGCCTCGGCCCGGACGCTGCGCCCGTCGGGCTGCCACCGGACCGCGGGGACCAACTGTGCCATGCGACGATGGACAGGAGTGGCCTTGAGGATGGAGCTGATCGTGTCGCAGCGGCGGTCGGTCGGCTGGGTCGGCTTGACTACGAGTTCTCCGCCCCCCGACCAACCCCCCTCCAGCCCCCACACAGGCCGGAAATGTTTCTACTTGGAAAGCATCCGACGCATGTGAGTTCGGCTCCTTCGCACCGTTCTAATTCCGCTGATTCATGAACTTTTAGTTCTTACCCCAAAAGCCTTCTAACATTCACATTTTCAGAAATCCCACTAGTCTAAACTACTGTTGTTAAGTTAAGTCTATTGTTAAGTCAAGTCGCTTGTTAAGTTAAATCCTGTTTAGGGTAAGTCCATCACAAAGATTTATTCCGAAAAAATTTCATAAACATTCATCACAAAGATTTATTCCGAAAAAATTTCACAAATATCCACCACAAAGATTTATTCTGAAAAAAATTCATAAACATCCAACACAAAGATATATTCTGAAAAAATTTCATAAACATCCATCACAAAGATTTATTCGAGAACATATCCACGCAGACGCATATGTATTTATAATGATAATTTTGTCACAAAATTAGATACTCCTCACACTACGCGTGTTTCCAAATGAATTATTATTACTCACCACGACTCTACTAGGTGGCGTCTGTAATGAGCCTTGCATAGATAGGTAATTAGACGAAGTGGTGCCCCTCCTAGAATCAAATGGACTGTCACTAGAGGATTCTGAGTGAGGTCGTGGTGGCGTTTGGTAAATATCCTCACGGGTGCTATGTAAAATTAAAATGAAAAAAAATTAAACGAAAATGAAATTCATGCTTTCTACTCATGTCCTTATCAATATCAATGTAATATTCTGAGATTCCACAAGACTTGTGATATAGTCGTGCAGCTTGAGAACCAGTCAGATTTCGATAGGAGATAATGCCTTTACACTGTTCACACCAGTAGCAATGTGCCAACTTGAATGCAGCCAACTTCAAGAATTAATCAGATTTTGGCAGAGAAGCTAGCGACCACCTTAAAATACACCCAGCTACAAGGCGCAGGTGCATAGATACAGCAGGCAAGTATGTAAGCATGTAGACACCGGCACACCCAAAGACACCGACATGTACACGTGTAGAGTCAGTGGAACGCAGACACGTAGGCAGATCACACATAGCGGGTTAAACCAACGATTTTACCTTAGAAAACCCAACTGCGCACTGTCCCCTGATCTCTGCGATGATTGGGAGAGAGAGCTGGCTGTGGAACAGCTCCTAGGATGCACCTGGCCGGTCAATTCATCAACAGAGTCGGCCTTTACTGAAACGCACAGGTGACAGATTATACCCAGTACACACACACACACACACATATCCACGCACGCATGCAACAGCACCACATTGGAGCAAATGGCTGCTAAAGGTTGTGAAATGCTGAAAAAGCAAAGGCTATTAATTAATTATATATTTAATTATTATATAGAATATACTGTATAGGCACTGGAGACAGATTCAAAATCTGACAGAAATGTCAGGATAGAATGACCAGTGACGTTTCGCACTCTAACCTCGAATGTATTCTAATATCTCCTTCGACTTTGGCCCTGTCTGTCCCTGTAGCAGGCCACTGGCAGTCTGGCCCGTTTTGTCGGAGATGCTGAGATCTATATCTATAAAAAAACAAGCAGTGCTTACATTAATGTGTTACCATGAGTCTAGTATATATATCCTTTCATTGATATTCTCTAAATATACCCCATTTCCAGCACTCTGCTAGCAACCTCTGTTGCAGCCACCCATGATAACAATTACTCGTGCTATTTGCTCCATTATCTTATTATTTCTTTTTTTTTCATGTTTGCGTTTTGCATTCAACTTACGCCTCATTCAGATTTAATGAGTCCAATTATCGCTCATAATTGAAATTACATAATGAGTCTATGTTTTCTTGCTCCTTTATCTCGCACTGCTGCTTTCTTTTCTCTTGCTTCATTTCACTCCTATTTTATCTCTCTCTCTCTCTCTCTGTCTCTCTCCCTCTCTCTCTCTCTCTCTCTCTCTGTCTCTCGCCCTTTCTTTCTCATCTCTCTCTCCCTCTCTTTCTCATCTCTCTCTTCCTGCCTCCCCCTCTCGCTCACACACTTTCCTCAAATGTTTTCTAAACTAAGCAATGTGTATAAAATGTCTTCACTCCAAATCTCACACACTTTCCTCAAATGTTTTCTAAACTAAGCAATGTGTATAAAATGTTTTCACTCTAACTAATTGCCTTCGCTTGGCAGAGTCAAGTGAAGCGCGAAGCATGTGCATATTGCTCGCTTCTGCCCAAACTCAAAAGCAATACACATTTGCGCATCTGCAAATTGCAATCGGCGATTTATGAAAGCGTAAATGCGGAATTGCTTTAGATGTCTGCCGGCTAGATTGACGTGCGCTGCCATAGCAACGTAAGGTGCACATCGGGTGCCCCCTAGCTCCCCCCCCCCACCGTTCTCATTTGTCTAACGAGATGCACGTTTCTCTGGACGCTTACGGATTACTGGTAGCTTAAAAAAGTATTCGTTTTTTTTGCGTGCAAGGGACGTGATGGTGCTCGTTAGAGCCGATTAGTTAGAGGTGTGTATAATATATAGGAGCAGGTGATGCTTTCGGATAATCCGAAGAGATTCCGACGAAAGTGCCTGTAGAGAAAATGACGTGCTTCCCTGCAGTGATCACCTCACTGCTGGTAAACACCCAGTGTGGTTTCCCTGGGTGTGAGTTACCCTTACAAGCAACACCTTTAAGTCTCGTGAGAAGACTACTGAAGAGTAAAATCCCCCACCAAAACAGAAGATGCTTTACTCGCTTCCCCTCCAAGCACAAACCTTCAGTGCTGTAGCTATGGTTACCGTTATCCTCTAGCTGCAGTAAGAACAACGTAACACACGCGGTTGTTTACGCTGATGCAATCCTTTGGTGTTGCCAATTTCCATTCTACAAGTATTCTAGAATGTGATTCCGCACAAGATTTTCTTTCACAGGCTTCATTTCTTGGTATAAATATGAGAGCCATGAGTAATGGCTGTTGAGGTACTGCTTCGTTCACCAGATAAACAGTACAAGTCTGTCAAAATTAGTCGTTCATGCGTGTTTGTTCCACAGCAAAGGAATTATGTATATAATGTAAGTGTAATTTTTGTTTCCTTTCACAGTTAATGCAAATGCTTTGATATATGAGCTGAAAATGTTACGTTAAATGATGGCTTGGATATTTTGTTTCGTGCTTACATATTTACCAACAACTACCACAACTTCTTAGTGAGTATAAATCGAGTAAAAAAAAATCCACGAAAAATAAATTAACTAATAAATATCGAGTTTTGGATTACAAATTGGATTATTGAATTTTAGACGACATGCGTGCGACTACTCACCTTGATCCAGCAACAACTTCACCACGTCTACCTTGCCGTACAGTGCTGCTTCATGTAACGCGCTACCCGTCTCCGTCTGCAACACACACGCACGCGCGTAAGACATGCGTCAACATCATCTGCACGACCAGCGCAAATTTACGGAATTGGACAGCTCGCAATATGCGCACGATCGACCTAGATTCTTTGTTACCGCATCAGCACAGCATGGGGAAATGATCGGAAGCGACAATGCACGGGATTCAATTATGAATACGCACACGTGAATTGTGCATTCAAACGATAATTATATACGAATTGTATTAATCATGTGCTCACAATTCAAGTGCATTTGAATGGGTGCCATGTGAAAATGACACCTAACAATAGAAATCCTATTGTCTGCCAGTAGATGGCACTGCTGTTCCTGGTCCCTGCCCAGCTACATTCATGCCCTAGGAGAACACAGCATCAATCTACAGAACGCTGCACTGCAAGACACACAGCGTAGATGACATATCACTGCTATGTTTACACACTGAAAAAAAAGGCAAACGCAGGTAAATGAGAACCCGCGATCGATGACGGCCATGTTACGACTGGAAACCCGAGATCGTAGGATGGAATGCACGCCGTGATCAAACGAAATGCGGAAACGACGTCAGGGGAGTGCAGACATCGTCACGAACGGGAGAGACGTCGGTAAAGCCTAGCGCAGACCTGCGACTTTTTCATGCAACTCGACAGCGATTCTAGAATCGCAGTCGAAATTGCTATGAAATCGCTACGTCTGCGGGAACGTGCAACTGCAACCCGTAACGATTCTGGTCGCTTGCAACGAGTTGCAAGACATCAAACTTTCGCTCGTCGCTCCAAATCGCTCCCACATTTCTCTAGAATTGCTTCAAAATCGCATGTGTGCGCACACGCAATTGCTTGCGGTTGCAGATTGCAGCGACAAGCAACCAAAAATCGCATGTCTGCGCTAGGCTTAATACGACGGTGCCTCGGACGTCAGCACTACGACGGCGCGACACGCCCGCCGGGCCGCTCTCACCAGGGTAAAAAATACACGGGAGCGACGAGCGATTAGCTCTTCAAACCTCCGAAATCGCTCCAGTGAACCTCAAAATAGCTCCCGCAAAATCTTTGACAAGAGCTATTTTTTCCACACACTTTAAAAAAAGAACCACCCGTGAAAAAAAAAAAATTTGCTTTAAAAAAACTCACCTGCGTGTTGACGCCGTAGCCGGCGTCCAGCAGACACTGGACGACGCTGCGATGACCGTTGCGCGAGGCGAGGTGCAGCGGCGAGTGCTTGAGGCTGATGATGGTCAGCAGCTCGGGATGCTTGCGCACGAGCAGCTGGACGGTGTCGAGGCGGCCGTACTGCGCGGCGAGGTCGAGACACGTCTCGTCTCGGCTGTTACTCAGCGTCGGGTCACCGTCGTGCTGCGGGGGTCAAGACAAGGTCGCGGTTACGAGCGCGCGGCTTCACACACCTCCCCGTATTTTTTTATTAATTTCCGGTTGTTAATTAAGCGCTAATTCATAAACCGAACCGGGGTGAGATCGCGGTTTTTTGTTTTCTCGGCGCGAAGGTCGCGTCGGTGATTTAGCGTCGACCCGAATTCCGGTGTCGGTTTTAAGATTTAATGTGATCCGAACTCTCGCGAACGCTCGCGGCGAGTCTCGAATGGAGTGCACTGACATTTATGGCGTAGCTGCAAGGTGTCGTGTTTTATGCATGCATGCAACCCCGCGAAGCACCGACTTACTGCTGGCAGCGTCTACACGCAGCGCAGACTGACCCAAATCATGCGTGGTAATGGCTAACAGTTGATTTAGATGCACGGGCACATGAACTGCTGACTAATGTACCCATGAGTACTCACAAAGGAAATTTACTACTTCTCCCTGATCAAATAACGGCTAATTAGTACGGTGCATGACAACCCATCTCGTGTCTTGTGCTTCTATGCGACCACTTTTATTACGGCTTCATTTATCCTGATGGCAGACAGACACGTGTTAGGACTCGTGTGAAAGTACTTCCGACAATTTTCATCCGCATTATAGCTTCTTCTTCTGTTCAATTTTGTGGAAATGGCAATTTAAATTGGCTTTTTAGAGAGCAAGGAAGTTGGAGAGGAAACGGAGTTTACGACCACGCGTATTCATTCCATATAGAACAACCATGCTGTACAATCTCATCCCGTACCACAGACACGGCCCACGCCTCTCAGCTCGCAGCACATTCACTACACAAGACCACGAAAACCGTGCAATCATCACGTTTTCGTCATAAATGAATGTCGCACCTCGCGAAGGCCAGAAGCTAGGTAGCAGGCCAGTAGCCGTGTAAGTTTCGCTATTCCCGAGTGCCTGCACGATGAGCAGCCAAACCACAGCCGCTCAGGGAGGCTTGTGACGAGCACACGCCGCAGGTTTTGCCACAGATGTGAAATCGGGATTCTGTGTGGGATTGGTGTGTGTGGGGTGTACTGCCGGTGTGTGGATTCTGTGTGGGATTGGTGTGTGGGGTGTACTGCCGGGATGTGGATTCTGTATGGGATTAGTGTGTGGGGTGTACTGCCGGTGTGTGGATTCTGTGTGGGATTGGTGTGTGTGGGGTGTACTGCAGGGGTGTGGATTCTGTATGGGATTGGTGTGTGGGGTACTGCCGGTGTGTGGATTCTGTGAGGGATTGGTGTGTCGTACTGCCGGGATGTGGATTCTGTATGGGATTGGTGTGTGGGGTGTACTGCCAGTGTGTAAATTCTGTGTGGGATTGGTGTGTGTGGGGTGTACTGCCGGTGTGTGGATTCTGTGTGGGATTGGTGTGTGGGGTGTACTGCCGGTGTGTGGATTCTGTGTGGGATTGGTGTGTGGGGTGTACTGCCGGTGTGTGGATTCTGTGAGAGATTGGTGTGTGTGGTATTAATGATGATATAGCTATAGGCCGTTGAGGGTACACGCTCGGGATGACAGTACCGCATAACTTAATTTGATGCAGGTATGCCTCCCAGGCCAACGCGGTTTTACGGGTTTAGTTCTGTTATGTATCGCCCCGCCAGCTGGATTCACCCTATTCGTATTCTTATGATTGCCCCCTGGTAACAAAGTGCACTCCTGTCATCGTTGACGCCCTAAAATATATTTTAGATATCTTAAACGCCTCTAGAACCCCCCCCTACGCACCCCCCAAAACTTGATGAAAAAATAAGTGCTCTTCTAAGATAGAACACTCGGATCTCATTGGTGACTCGTTGAGTAGTTTAACACAAAAGATGCACCTCCAGTCCACCGAACCAGTGTACTAGCATTTACACGGTTCATTCCTGTTTACTAAATTCCGCACGTTTCACCTCATCCGAATTGCGCAACTGCCTTTAATCGCAGGGTTCCCGCAAGTGATGTACGTTAATGAGCGTTTGTCGAATCTTTATTAGATCTACTGCAGGCAAACTTCTGTTGTACACCCCGCTCACGTACGTCCTATTATTCTCTATAAATTACGCAAATATACGGTCCTGCTTCAGGAGAATGCATGTAATGGAGTGTTATGATCGAGAAGCCTCCCTTCTATACCCATGCATAGTTAAATTCTTCATATTATTCGCAGATTGTACGCGATCTTCGTGCATCTTACTATACCATTCTGGCGGAATGTTGTATGTATTTACTTGATGTATGTATTAATGTACTGTATGTATGTATGCTATAGTGATGGTTAAGATGAAAGGCTCCGTCAGTTTTGGCATCCGTGAAATAGCGCGCAAATACAGCGAGGAAGAGATTGATGAGTAATACGGGGCCGTGGTTTCGTGAAGAATCGTTTATACTCCGGGGGGGGTGTTGAAAACCGTTTGTTCGTCCTTAAAATGAAGACACAGATGAAACGACATAAAAAAGGTAAAGATTTGCTCTAGAAAATAGGGGGTGCTCGTTTGTGTTTTCGTTCGTGTTCAACAGGACCGGGTATCTGCAGAGGCAATTATAAAGTCAAACAGTTGATGATAAGTGCTTCTGTAATCATCAAGCCAGTAGTGGTCCTACATAGCATTACAGATGAAAACATTTTGTTTGTGGTTGTGGGTGCGCTGCGTGCGTGCGTGCGTCGCTGTCTGTGATTTCACATGTGTACTTGCCAAACAAAATGTTTAATGTGGTTACGCTGTAAGCATGATTGTACATTGAGCATCTCAACTCAATGAAGAAAACAGAACCATGTGGCCAACATGTCCCACTGAAACTGCTCCATATGAACACCTAGCACATTAACACTACTTTACTGGTTAACCAGGTGCATTGGCTTCACAGTCACTGAAGCCCGCGCGTAGCGGCGGGTTTTCAGCTGAGGCTGTTTCATTTGAATAATCATGAAAGCTTTTTGCATAGTGAATTCTGTCTGCTGTTGACTGCGGTATAGGTAATTTTAACGCCCTACTCTTCCCCTCTGAATCAAATCATTGGTTCTACGGGCCCAGGATGGTAACAAATCTTTCCTACCTCGAGCATCGTGGGGCAACTCGCTCAGGCCGTCAGTGTCCTGGTTATCGATATACCCGAGTGTGTGCGTACGGTGCATGCCGCGTGCGTGGCGTGCGGTGCGAAGAAGCGAATTGGCTCCAGCTTGACAGAGTAATGCGCATTAGCCAGCATATCGATGGGAAATTGGCACGGTAGTGTTATTGGCCGAAGCATGGTTGCTAGCGTTACGATTGATTCGGTGACGAGGCGCTTTCAGCACGCAAGGAAAAACTACAACGTAGCGCATCGTAGTTTAGTTGAATGGTTTTTAGTGCACGATGCGTTGTGCCAACATGTGACGTGGCGATGTGCCGTGCCGTGTGGCGTGCGCGTGTGTGTTGCGTGCATGGGTGAATTGTGCGTGCGTGTGCGTGCATGGGATGAATGTGCCGTGCGTATCGCGTGCGCGTGGCTGTGACGCGTGCAAATGGTAATGTGCGTGCGTTGTGTGCGTTTGCGGTGTTTCGTGTGTGCGTCATGTGTAAGCGTGCATATATACTAGCTGCTTGTTCCATTCGCAGCAGTGCGATGCATGCGCGAGTGCGTTTGTGTGCTGCGACACATGCCGTCTTGCGCGTGCGCTGCTTGGGAGCGCAAAATGTATTTATTAAGCAAATGTAAAGCGCCCCTGAGCTACATAATGACTGCAGCAACAAGTAATCACTTGGCCAAAGTGATGGACTAGTACGTGTCCTGCGGCTAATTGCAAGCAGTACGAAATAATTGGCAAGTTAAGCAAAGGGATGAGAGTTTGATGAATTTGAGGATGATAAATTGATGTTGCCAACGCAAAATTCGAGAAAGGGGGGGGGGGGGGTGGGGGGGGGGGCGCGGGGCGGGGGGGGGGGGGGGGGGGGGGGGGGGGGGTGCCGTGATTAGTTCTCCTCTGTCAGATTTCAGCTAGTGGTCTCTAATGTGGACATTTCCGCTAGAATTTACTCGAATTGGCAGCATTTCTTGTCATTTCCCACGGGGGGGGGTGCCTGTCAAAAACTAACATTCAAGCTGAAAGTTAGTGTGATTAGTCCCGGGAGCTTGAAGCCATGACACTGAAGCCTGCCTCGCGATCGTCCGACCGGATAGCACGCCGTTTAATTAGCTGTCTCATCTTAATTAGCGTCATCTTATTGTTGTCTCAATCTTTAATTGGGTTGTCTCATCGTTGTTGTTGCAGAATAAGACGGTGAGACGTCGCTGCATTCTGCAGCTCCAGTACGGTCACACGAGTCGTCGCCGAGTTACCTGGAGGTAGGATGCGACGCGGAGTCAGCTCTCGCAGCATCCAGGCGCGAAATCACGAGAAATCCGTAACAGGCTCCCACGATATATCTACACAGCGCGGCAGTACACCCCACAGGCACCGGTCAGTACACCCCACACGCAAATCCCTCACAGAATCCAACACACCGGCAGTAAAGCCCCACACACACAATCACACAGAATCCACACACGCGGCAGTAACAAAACCCCACACACCAATCACACACGAGAAATCCACACACCGAGTACGAGCCAGCACACACCAATCCGCACACAGAAATCGCACGGAACACCGAGTACCGAGCCCCACAACCAATCCCTCACAGAATCCACACACCGGCAGTACAACCCGCACACACACAATCCCACACGGAATCCACACCCGGCAGTACAACGCAACACAACACACCAATCCCACACACGAATCCACACACAGGTACAGCAAGTACAGCCACACCATACAATGTCTCCACAGAATCCACACACCGGCAGTACACCCCACACCCAATCCGACACAGAATCCACACACCGGCAGTACAGCCCGCACAACACAAATCCAACACAGAATGCCACACACCCGCAGTAATCGCACACACCATTCCCACACAGAACCCACAACACGACAGCAGTACACCAACACACACACAATCTCTCACAAG